AATGGGCTACCATCTTAAAACTCCCAGATTCAACCTTCTTGCAGTGATAGGAAATTATTGCAGTGAACATTTTGATTTGACATATTAATTAAGGCGAAAAAGTAAGAATATAAAATTTAAAACAAAGCCAGTAAAAACTAACTATGAATTAAGAATTATTCTAGTTTTGATAAACATCCAGTGCCCAAAACTGCTGCCCGGCAACTGATTTGTGTCCGCCTTGATGTAAGTCTCGTCGTCCATCACGACGCACCTCGGTTTCGTCAGCCACTCCCGATAGAGCTTCCTGGAGAGGGTTTTAGCCACCGTGTTTGTCGTTCCGGTTCGATGCCTTCCGGACCTTGTAGACGTGGATGCCGGCATCGTTTTTGGGACAAACCAGATGGAAACATCCGCCTTCTTCGCCGCATAGCGGATTGAAAGATTCGGCCGTCGCTTGAACAGACTCAACACCTTCCTGGTATTAACCGGGTCAGCTGTCTTCGGTTTTCTGCCGCTGCCTGCCCACCACTGGGTCTTCACCACCCGGGAAGTCGGATTTTCCACGACGGCGCACAAGATTTTTTGACGGATCAACTCTTACTCCAATGCCAATGTGATGAAATTCTGCCAGCGTAAACATTACACTCTTAGCTTGTTTCAGTCAAAAGAACTCAAGACCAGTGGTTCTCAAACTTTTGTCAACTGCGACCCGCATTGAGACATTCCATAAGCTCGCGACCCACCAATATTGAACACAGATGTTGTGAAGTCAAAATGACCTTAAAACTTAAAAATGGCTTTTATTCAATCCATTTATTTGGAAGGCTGAAGTGCGTCAACTTTACGGAGCCGATATTTCATTGCTTGTAGTTTAACAAGAATAATGTCTAGCAGGGATAGACCAATTACTTGCGGTTGGCTCGAGGTTAGAAAGTGTAAAAAATTTGACTTCAAAACAAACAAGAAAACTGCATGATTGCCTGATACCCTAAATCAAGCCTGATACAAACCTAATTCGCCAAATTTGTCAAAAAAATGGCATTCGAAAAAAAATGATATGCAAACACTAAAAGAGTAATCGAAACTCCAAAGAAGTATTAAAACTAAATAGACAATTCTAGGATTATTTTGAAAGGTATACTGTGAATATTCAGAGAAATATTTTAAAGAAATGTTAAAGAGAGTAACTTAAGCAAATTCTTGAGAGAATGATCAAGGATAAGAATTGTGGAGTTTTCTAGGGAGAAGTCCAAGAATGTTTTAGACGAATTAAAAAATCACGAATAATTTAGACACCTTAAAGTGGCTCTTTTGAGCTATACGGACTCACAAATTGTCAAGACATCGTTCAAAACATTATTGATTATGTAGAACTTCAAGGTCTTATCTCCAGAGTAGTTTGGTGAGCATTTCATATCTTTTCGATACCATTCCATGATGTGCATGTTGTCTTGAGCTTTACGGACTCAATAAAATTTTCACGAAAATATTCAAGACTTGAGGCTGCCGAACTGCTAGATCATAACTCCAGAATTATTTTGAGAGCATAAAATATCTTATTGATACCATTCCATGCCGTGTCTACTCTCAAGAGACTCTAATGATCTTCACGTACTCAAAAATATTTTCACAACAATGTTCAAGACTTCATTATGCATGTAGAACTTTTCTTATCAAATGTAATCTAATACAAACGCAGCCAGTACGGGGAACCATCCTGGAAAATGATTAGGTTAGATAACGCCTAATAATTTTTCTTGTCAACATTGATGCTTGCAGCATATCTTTGATATGAAAACAAACATCAAAACGGCCAGGCCTACTCCGTTGCATTTGCCGCAAAAATGATTCGAGTCTAAATAAATCTATTTAAACAGCGATGTTGCCTGTAGAACTTTTAGATCTTAACTCCAGAGTAGTTTGGAGCAGTAATAGAAAAGTTCACAACCAATCACTGTGACTCGCGATCTTCGACATATATCGTTGAACTTTTCCTATGCCGGTTTGGAGAGTATTAAATATCTTATTAAGCATTAAATATCGTATTGTAGAATTTAAAGATCTTTGCTCCAGAATAGTTTGAAGAGCATTGAATATCTTATTGATACCATTCCATGAGCTTCGCGGACTCATACAGATTTTTAGGACATAGAGCTTCAAGATCTTAGCTCCAGAATAGTTTGGAAAAGCTTTTTTTTCCCTTTATTTACAAGGCTTTTAGCTATCGGCTGGTTCGTCTTGGGATTGGAAATCCTTACATATCGTTTTGATACCATTCCTTGTTGCGCATTTTATCATGAGGCTCTGATGATGTGTTGCATATGTCGGAAAAGTGCGTATCAAAACACATCAATACCTTGAATTCTAGGATAATTCGGAGAACCTAGGAATCTGCCGAGTGCTATAAAGCTGTTTAATGATTAATTCAGGCACATACTAATAAAAATATAGTCAATCAATGCAGAAAAATCTAGAAAATATTTTTGGCCACCTCCTTGTTTGGTTATTCCCCATAGTGCACATTGGTCCTAATGGAAGAGACGAACCAGCCCGGTGCTGAAAGTCTCTATAATAAAGCTTAACTAAACTAAACTAATTAACGGCGCCGATGGTGTAGTGGTAAGCGTGATTACCTCTCACCCCAGCAGGCCTGGGTTCAATCCCAGTCGGCGCCGCCGGGATGTTCTGAGGCATAGCATCTCTGATCACGCCTTCCTTCGGATGGGAAGTAAAGCCGTTGGTCCCCGGTTCATGAGTTGATGGGTCGATAGGTAGGGTCCAGGTGTGGGAGCTGCCTTCCTGGCACGTCGGTAGCATTGGTGCTCAGCACGGAAAACAAGATCGACGGAAAAAACAAACCAAGGAAAAAAAAAATAAACTAAACTAACTAATCCGAATGGCGTCGCGGAATTTACAATAAATGGGGCATCAGGCGCATTTCTATGAGAGGTGAAGCTCCTTGGCTCAAATTTTAGAACTACAGCATTGCCCTCTATTGCCCAAATTATAATGTTTGTCCTTGAGATAATTTTACATAATGTTTTTCCAAAAGTTGAAGGGTAGGGGAAATGGCTCTAATGTTGGCCTATGGAACTAAGATTGGGCCCATCCCTAAAAATCTGCTATTTATCAAAATTTAGTCAATTGCTGAATTTATGTATGGGCCCAAATTAGGAGCATTTAGGCCGACATTACATCCATTTCCCCTACTATAATATAATATAATTGACACACCATTTCCAGACAAATTCAACTATTTTAGTCAAACCTATTTGAATTAACCCTGTCAAAATGTGGGCTTGGGCAGTGGAGGGTTGAGTTGTGTAGATATGAAAATTCCCCAATTCAATTTCCACCATAAATATTCACTGCCGAATTTGCAACACTTCACAGAGGAGTAACTAGAATAAAACCTGGCAAAATATTTACTGCTGTTTTGAGTGCCTTGAATAATTTGATCGGATCTCGCAAGATTCGATAACTTTTTTAACAATGAATTAGTACAAAAATAGTTAAAAGTCGTTTTTTTAATTAAATTTCTTCAAAACTAGCTTAAACATTAAAATTTTGAGATTATTATTCATCAACTAGATGGTATTGAATACAAGGAACTCATTTTTTAAGAAAAGTTGTCCATTCATCATTTTGTGATGAAAAAACCTCCAAAGCAACATACATGTTCTATAAAAGTTAATATAACTTTTGTGTGACTGGTATTGGTTGTAAAGCAGTTTACTCAACATAAATCTAGGAATATGTGTTACTTGGGCTGCGGCGGAAAATCTTCTAAATAAAGGTAATCAGTCATTTTGTTTACCTCTAGTAAGGATTTTTACTATCTGGTTGATTTAAACAAATTATAAAAAAAAGTTATGGCATTGATTAAACAATACCGAAAATGTATAAACATCATTTTACGTGTTTTAACATTTGTCAATTTGTGTAGCATGTATTTAAGAATACAAAAAAAAATAAAGTAACAAAGTTTTTTTTCTATTTTGGCCAGGATGTTGTTCAATTAAGTCACTCCTCTGTGCGATGGCGATGATTCGAAAAACCATTTCAAGCTAACCATAAGTTTCAAAACTTTAGATTCCGTTCCATTAAGAACGTACTCTCTAATCTACAATGCGGCGACGCAGCAAACAATAAATTATAGTGCCAGCAACATACATTCATTAAAACCTGAGTATTTTGACTTGAATGGATTCTAAAGAGATTTAGAGACATCAAATGCTAACACACACAAAAATACCTGCTAAAAAAAACGGACAATCTTCGGATAAAAAATATTACCAACGACGACTCACCACATTGCACGAAACCTTCGCCAAACCTAGCCTCACCGTCCACCCATTCTCTTCTCGCTAGCTCCTAAGATCCCTTGTATTTTGGACTGATTAAAGTAAATCCCCCTCGCAAAACTGCGGTATCCTTTAATTTATTTATTTATTTATTGTATTAAAAGTACCATTTAATAAATAAGTGTTTAAATAAATAATTTATTTCCACAGAAAAACACAATGTCAATAAGCATCGCTTAATATAAATACCATAAAAAAACACCGTAAGTCTTATACGTTATGTACAACAATGTCGAAATAAGAAAATAAATTTCACAACGCCATCGTCTTGTTCCACATTCATTTATTATATTTCGATTGTCTTCCTGCTTTCTTTCATTCTTGCTTTCTTTAACTGAGAACGGTGCTAATAACTGGGAGAAAAATAAAACTTAAGGTGCATCATATTTAGTGGGGTTTCCACTGATTTCTGCTTAAAACAGCCTTCTGCAGCAGCGCATTCCATCCAGGGCAAACCGGTACCAGTATATTGGAGGAAAGCAGCAGGCCATAGGCTGGGGCGTGTTTAACTTGCCGACGACCGACGGCGCATGCCTACTTCGATTCGAGTGGAATCGGCACGAGATCAGGAGACAATTCTCATTTCCCAACTTTTTAATTTTTTTTATGGTTAGGTTTTTTTGGTCCGTCAATCGAAAGATTAGGCATTATGGGTAAAATAAATGAAGATACATTTCTCAATTCTATTTCCCACCGATGAACAACGAGAATTTAATCCTCAAACTCGTACTCGCAAGTTAAACACGCATTCAATTGTGACTCTTTCTCAAACGAAGAGTATTATTGGGTGAGTTTTAAATGCCATAAACTAAAAATGGATGGGGGGTCCGGTATTCGAACTGCCCTTCACTGCTGCACCACGGTGTGGTTGAAGTGTTCCTCGACGCGATGCTGCATACCGTTCAGATATCTCTGAAACTGACTCGTCACGTGCTGCAACAGATTGATGCCAACGACCAGTTTCATCTCCACCGTGTCACGGATCAACTCGGACCAGCTGATTGGACGTTCATTCGCCGGAGTGGATCCCGTTTCTCCCTTCTCGCCCTCGGTGGTAGGATCGAAAGTGTCAATGCCTACTGCTTCTGTTGTTGTTAAAGGTGAGCTTGTGCTGGTTGTCGTGGAAATGACGTCTGGCTTTTTTTCATCGTTTACTGAGATTTCGTTGTCAATTTCGTTATCGATTTCATTTTCCTCGCTTGCTACGGCAGCATCTCGCTTTCGCCGACGAGGTCCGTGCTCTGGGACAGGTGCAGAAGTGATGATATCGAGCATGCTGTTGTCCTGGTGGTACACACTTCCGACCACGTACTGGGCATGATGTTCCGGACTGTGTTCAGCAGTGTAGGCCGCCGGGTTGGGGAGTAGTTCGTGATCCTGTTCGGACAAATCTTCGGTCATTTCTTCGGAAACTGGTTCGGAGCTGGTCAGTGGGACGTGAGTAGTAGTAGTGGTCGAAGCGGTTGTACTTTCCGGGTAGACAGGTGAGCTTTGTTTGGTGTAGAAACTGGGTGGGGTGTTGTAGTAAAATTCGTTATGGGATTTCGCTTGCCCTTGACGGTTGTAGTTGGCGTACATTTCCGGAGTGCCTGGATAAGCCGGACGATTGCGATAGCTGATTTGGGGATACTTGTTGACGGAGTAGCTCTGAACGTGGTAATTGCCATACTGGTGACCGGTTCGGGCAGGTTGACTAACTCGACGACGCAGAGTGTTGCGGTAGTACGAACGATCCGGCATTCCGGCGATCAGTTTACCGAACACTTCCTCTTCATTCTGGCCGTCGGAGGTGGCATAGTCCTCGTAGTTCGAGTAGTAGATATCATCTTTGCGGTTAGTAGCTTGATCCGAACGTCTCAGCGCAGCCGTCAATGGACTGCCAAGAAAGAAGGATGCCAAGCCTGCTGTGAGAACCAATCCTACCAAGCCTACTCCAACCGTTGGCATGACTTCGCGGGACAGATAGTTCATGATCTGAGCAGTCATTGGCTGGCTCTTTACCGGTGGTTTCTTCACGCTCGGTTTAAGACCGGCATCCTTCTCTTCAGGTTTCTTCTTTTTGTTAGCGGGCTTCTTCTTCGTAGCCGCAGCGGTCGGCTTACGGGTAGGCTTCTTCTTAGTTACCTTAGATGGTGAACGATCTTCTGGTAGATCGAACATGGAATCCTTTGGTTCCAAAATAAGGAAAGTCGCTGTCTCAACGTCATTATCGTCCGAAGTCAGGTCATAAGAGGCAGTAGTACCTAGCAGGGTCTCGGTCATGGTCAGCTCAGTTGTCGTCGTAGTCGGGGCTGCCGTAGTCGTCGTTGTTTTGCTAGTTGTCGGAGAGAGAGGTTTCCTCGGTTTCTTGGTGATCGTGACAGAACTGTCTTCTAGTTTTGGTTTTGGTCCATCTGCAACCTTAATTCTGGTCATGAATTTGTTTATCTTCTCCTTCTTCTCTTCCGTTACGGTTGAAGCACGGGTATTGGTAGTCGTTCGTCGTCGAGCTGTAGTCATGGATTTCCGAGCGCTGGTAGTCGCCGGACGTCTAGTCGTAGTAGTGAATGGTCGTTTGGTTGTGTTGACAATCTCCTTCTTCGATTCGGTAGACGTCGGTGAAATACTTTCACTGAGGAGGACCCACGTGGACAAACCTTCCCTAGGAGTTGTCGTCGACGGTTGTAACCTAATGCGAACTCTATCGGCTGCCTTGGTGAGCTCCTTGTGATATTCTTCCTCAGGTAGTGGTTCGGCAACACCGGCATGGTTGGCAAAGTTATCGTACGTGATAATCTGGTCATTGGCTTTGGCCTCACCAGCGGCTCCCTTCGTCGTATGGTGCAAACCAGCGCTGGTCAGAATCTTAGTACTGGTCGATACCACGTAACCCGAAGTTCCAATCTTCGTCTTCAGGGGACTCTCCGGCCGTCTGAACAAAGGGCTGCAAAGAAACAAATATGATGCGGTTCTAGATTCCGTGGCTAAAGAGCAATCTCGACGGACGATCCCCGCACTTCAACATGCAATATAGAAGGCGATCTGCCAGCGACAGAGATTCCAGAACAGAGACCGAAGCTTTTTGCACAGATCTTGAGAATGATAGGGAAGAGACACAGAGGTAAGCGTACATGCAGTTTACTGACAGAAGCAGGATTAAAACGCTGATTTTTTGTTGTCCAAGCACATTGAAAGGAATGATTTATTGGTGAAAATGTTAGTTGTTTTTTTGGAAAGCTTGTAGCAAGCGACATTCCAATTTCTTTCAATGATTTTCGTGTGTTTGTTAAAATGAGCTTAAAACCTACGACTACAGGGTATTAATGCTAATAATACTATTTCCAGGTTCACAAACAGCATTGTTATGATCTACTCTAATGACATTTATCGCTACTCTACGATAGATAGGAGACACTCTGACAACGCAAACAACAAGTCATAGCAACCTAGTTTAGTTTGAAAAATGAAATCTAATGAATTATGGTTACTTCGATCGATGAGTCTGCTACGATACTACATGCTATGAATGATATGGTTGAAGAGAGCACCACAGTTTATGCGAGGATGCTTGATGACTGGTTGATAATATTCTTCACTTTGTATTCCTCGAGGCCACTCCCATGAATTTTACCCACCGTCGATTAAAATACAGGAAAGAAACTTCCCCTGTGACACCATTTTAGGAAAAGAAATCTCCCCATCGCTAGTCATGGGAATAATCTAGACACGGCATCTCCTAGCAACCCCACGCGATTCAGTCAGTCAGTCAGTCGGTTCTACGCCTCGTGTGATTATCGTGACGATTGCAAATGAAGACGGTGCAGATTAAAATAAAAAGTGTAACATCAATCTCACAACACCTTCTCAATGCGGAATTGAATTAAAATTTTGCTCTTAGCATGGGTTACTTTGATGGGAAAATTTCCCCCCTTGAACGGTGTCAGATCTCACGAGTCCAAAGCTTGCTTTTCTTTTAATTGAATAATCTCTTTCTTCTATGCGTTCCCTTGCCTTCATCGCGCTTGTTTTTATCAATTCAAATCATGTTTTTTGTTGTTATTTGTTGATTTCCGACGAAATGGTTGATTGGTCCTATTAATCTAATGGAGGTTCGTAATGAGGAACTGATGCAACCTGACAAAGTGTTAGTCTGTCGAGATGTGGTATGCGATGTAGTATATGTGTAGGTGAATGCATGTTGTACATGTATGGTATGGATTTGTTTTCTGAGCTGATTTTCCGATAGGCCAGTAACAATAATGGAAGAAAATGGTAGGTGGAAAAGTTAATAATAAGCATGCACGTGATGATACAATTAATAAAGAAAATTTTCATGGATTACAGCTCATCCGTCCCGCTCTCCTCCACCAAAAGTGGGGGAGATGACAGATTGATCCCCACACGGTCGGCAGTCGGTGGAAACAGTGGGAAAATGCACAATTTTGCCGACTAATGTGTTATTAAGTATACAACTTTTTCGGGGTTAATTGTTCACTTATCTGATACTCTACAGCTACTTCTACGACTACTACTACTACTGCTACAACTATTTCTTTGACGGGTACCACTTTTTCGGGGTCATCAATTGGTGTTCGCATTTTCCTCTAATTATTTTCTTTTGTGTTCGTCTTGTTTCCGCCCAATCATTTTTTTTATCGCTTAGTGGAAACGGAAAGTGAAAAGGGGCTTTATGAAGAGAGCGATTTCTTTGCGTCAAGTAGTTATTTTCTGTCTGTTTCTGTCATTTTTTTTTGCGTAATTGTCAATTGGCACTTTATGTGTTTTTGTTACATTTTTGGCGAAAACTTTCCTTCCCTTACCGGATTGCAAAGGCACGCGTTGCGTTGAATGATTTAAGCTCGAGGTAAATCATTTGAATCGGGGAATTCTATCGCCTTTTCGCAGCCTTATGCCCTCGATATGGACTCAGTTGGCTCGTCGTTTGGCCTCCTCCACCAGGTCGCTTTATATTTCCTATACTTCTTCGGTCGTCAGCAAACCCTAGATGGGTCCACATGTTCCCGAAATCGAACCAACCCGATCGGGATGGTGCTTGTACCGGCCGGTGCCTCCGGTGAACCCGATGAAATGGTCCTACCGGAAGTGGTTTCTTCACCACGATTGTGCTGAAATTTTTGATTGGTGGTGTAAGCTTCGAGTACATGTACATGCCAATGCCAACACTGGTCATCACCATGGCAACGACTGGCAGTGCTGCCAGTGCCATGATGATAATGTTCATCGGAGTCATTGCCGACATGGCAGCCATCATGCCGAAGAGAGCGTGTGAAGTATCCGGGATTATGGAACTATCACCGGAGTCGTGAGGTTTCTTGTGTTTGTTGTGACCTCCACTGGAAGTTCCAGGACTCGTTCCCAGACGCGTAGGTTGCATGATATTGCCCATCAGATTTCCTATAGGAGTCGAAAGAAAGGAAGCCAAGGGTGCTGGTGGAATTACTGGTGGAAACACTGGGGCCGATATCAAGGGTTCAACCGGTGCAGCGAACAATGATGCATCACTTGCAAGCGATGCTCCGGCAGCAGCTGGCGCATCTGCAGCAAGTGAAGATGCCGCAAAGGATGCACCAGCTGCAGCTTGAGGATTCGCTGCAAGTGATGACCCCGCAATGGCAGCTGCTGCTGCCACTGGAGCAGCAGCCGCTACCGCTGGTGCCAATGGTGAACCTGACTTAGTTATTTCGTCCCGCTGCGGTTCGTTGATGGAAATTTCGATATCGTTACAGGCCTCCTTTCCATTGACAGTGATCCGAATGCCATTGCACTTCTGCTCTTCGTTCTCCACTACTCCCTCGTCTTTCAGTGCTCCTAGCTCATCGTACGGATCTCTCGGAGCATCATCCCCGTAGGGATCAGCCAGCTGTTGCCATCCCGTCGATTCTATTTGTTCAACATCATTCCAGTATGTCGCATCCGGACGATCCGGATCCGAATCCGAATCCACTTGTTGCTTCTCAGGCTTCTTCTTCTTGTTTTTGTTCTTTTTCTTTTTCTTTTTCTTGGTTGGCTCCGAGTATACATCATCGATCGGATCCGATTGAGTTTGATAGGCATTTTCCTGTGGAAATGGAAATTCATCCCTTTCCGGTTCGGGTGTATATCCGTCGTCGGAAAACGACAGTTCTACTTGATCATTGGAAACCTCCGGATAGACCGGTTTGGCTACTATGATTAGCGAAGCCGGTGTTGACGATGGAAACGTGTAAAATCCATTGGTGGTTCCAAAACTGCTCAACAAATGAACCGGAGTTACAATTCCGTGTTGTCCGTTGAAATCCACATTGAAGGCGTCCTGCGTTTTATCCGACCACTTGGTTATGATCTTATGTATGATCGGTTTCTTCCGGACGTTCATGTAGTGATATTGTGTATCCGGTGGGTCCCAATTAGGGCTGGTCTGCGCCACCGGTGGCAGGGAGACCGATCGCAACGTATTCGGTTCCTCGGTAAGGGAAGGAAGCAGACCATAGTTGCCTACACCAATGTTGTCTTGTTGGAAGTTTGCCAAATTTTTTATGATAAAGTCTTTGATTATACTTTCGCTAGATAGAACATCGTCTGCATATTTGGTATACCTGCTAATGTGATCCTGAGCCAGCGTCGATGGGGCTGGAGTTGTCGTGGTTGTGGTAGTAGTAGTTCCAGGTGCCACCGTTGGCGCCGCTGGGTTAGCGTCGTTGTCACTACTTGCACCGGTCGATGTCTGATGATCCGCGCTGTCACCGGACGCGACCAATGGTAGAGCGTTCGTCGTTGGAATCAGTTCCTCCGTCACCTCTAGCGGATTGCTATTGGAACGGTAGAAGATTGGTTCCGAGTTTGGCCTGGCCAGTACGGGACCCACCAGCAGGCATAGCAGCAGGATGGATTTGTGCTTCATCGCTGGAATTCCAAATGAGGGGGAATAGACAATTGAAAAGAGAATAGAGATAGAAAAAAACCAGCTCATTAGTAGTCATTTGGAGGTAATTAATTGAATTGAATCGATTAGGTGTGCGCAGACAATTGATTACAGTTTTTGGGATGGATGTTGACGCATTAATTGGGTTGCTTATGGCGATTGACGCAAATATTTGACAGCTACTTGCATTATTCAGCAATTCAATCTTTATCTGATTTATATACCGGGGAAAATAATGCTCAATTAACATACAATGGCGATACTTCCAATTGCTAAAGTCAACCAAAACTGGAGAGAAGAATTGGATGTGATGGACACTTTAAAAAAATTATTTCTATAGAATATATTTAAAATTACACGAGAAAAAAAAACCAATAAGCCATTCGATAGTAAGGGCTAGTGAGGGTCTCAGATAAGAAAGGTGCCAATTCAAAAAAGACTTGGCCACCTTGGTCTAAGCAGCTTCCAACATTCTTCTTTATCTTCTTCTTCTAGACTTTTTACGCTTCCGTAGCGAGCGTTTTGTCGGCTCTCAACTTCATGTTCTAGCACAATGATCCTATATACCCAGGGAAGTCGAGAACATTTCCAACCTAACCTAAAAGATTTCCTCAACCGGAATCGAACCAGCCGCCTCCGGCTTGGCAATAACGTGAGTTTACTGCCTAGGACTAGGTTATTGAGGCTGATTTTTAGCAACACTTTCAAAATAAACGCTCGATTGGCTCTGGTTTAGACAGTTATTTTCGTTCAAGATGTACAGCAAATAAGCTTGAAGCCTCCTGATTAATGCCGTCTGTAAGATAATGTACAAATTTTCAACCTAGTACTAATTTTCGATATTTATGCCCAAAAGTGGTCCAAAAATAAAACTTTCCCATGCAATTAACACACAATTCGCCTTGTATGGAAAGATCGAAAACTAGTGCTAGGTTGAACATTAGTACGCTTACTCCAGAAGGAAAGATAGAAGGTTTCGACATTTTCATTTAAAACCACTACCAAGGGGTTGGCCACTCAGCACAGTGTGCCAAAAATGCATATGGGAACACTTGGTTAGCACTGTTTGGCACCCGTGGTACACAATTTTTATGATATCTGCGCAGTGCGGATGTGTCCAAATTTGATTGTAGACACAAACAATTTTTGGTATCCGCAACAGATCATTTCGCCAGAGCCTCCAACTCACCCTTACTGCCCACATTTCAAGTTCCGGATCAGCGTAGCAGTGGCCTGCCAATTCTTCCGGATTACAGTACTCGGTCGTGCCATAGAAGGTAGAAAACAGTTGCCCTTTCTGTACGAACCTCGGCGATCCGAAGTCTATCAGCTTGATATGGAAATGATGATGATAACGATGTCCCGGTGCAGAATGTTCAACGAGTGCTGGAAAGCAACCGCATTAGCAATCTGTCGAAAGATCCAACAAAGCAGCTTCTCCGTCATCACGGGTCTTCGATCGATAAACTCGAACAGATCTATCCAGGAGCCGTGGATTTCCATCACAACACCTGGAAGAATTTGTCGTTATCGAATCAATCGAACATGTTGACAATGTTCGGACGCTTCACGTGCGTCAACAGGTACACTTCCATCGGAATTTCTTGCTTCTCCTCGGTCGTAATCATAAACTGCGGCACGAGCTTCTCCTTCAGTATGAATTTCGATACCACCAGCAACCTATCCGAGTTTCGGTAGCTCAGCTTCACATACCCGTACGCGCCCTTTCCGATGTGCCTCACCAGCAGTGGATCAAATCTTCATTGCACTGCGACATATGGGAGACCGAACTGGGCCGATCCGAGTGCTGCGCAGCAACTGTATTCTTGATGGTCTGCCCAAGCAAATTGTCCACCATGCGATGTACGATGAATCCGGATTCCGGCTAACCCAGATGCAGTTGACCTTCTTGCCGCAGGGAAGCGTCAGATTCGAAAAGGTGTAAGTATGTCGATCAAGTTGCCATCTTAGAGGATCGCTTCCCCGTGGAACTTCCCATCCGAATAGATCGACCTGCGTGGTCCACACAGACTCGGAAGCGTTCCAACGGCCGAATGTCGTTTCTGTTGATTTGACCATTGGCATTGACGTGACCATTGTTTTCGACAGCTCGTACGGTTTGACTAAAGAGCCTGAATTTATTAAGAGACGACATGTCAAAATTGGAACAATCGATTATCTGTCAAAGTCATAGGAAAAGTTATTCCAATCGAGCAGAAGACCTGTCAAATGGATGTCGCCTCTTTACCCAATTCAGTCTATTTAGGTTTGACATACCGGGGAGTTGTGACCGACAGGGGAGCATTCAGCGGAGCCGAATAGTCCTCACTGGAGGAGATCTTCATTAAGGCTGAATTGATGTCCTCCGATGAGTAGAGTTTTTCCTTCGTATTTGCCACTGAGCAGATTCAAGCATTCATTAACGGGTGTTAGAAGGTCACAATTAACAATGTTCTGGCAACTAGAGATGAACTAGCCTAAGGCTAAAAATCTCTTAAATAAAGAATTAAAAAAAAAAATGTTCTGGCAATCTTTCAATGCGGGCGGTTTGGTAAGAGTTTCCTTTACCGTACACCTGTCTCCTGCCAAGGCGACCGATTTCAACGCATTGAACGGCGTAATTTCGGTCATTCTTGCAGTTACGGCAGATTTTAACGGAACTGACGATGATCGAACTCAATAGGCCATACAGAAATACCATCGGACAACTGATGGACAACAGCCATTCAAACATAGTGTCCATACGCTCGTTTTCGGTTTGTAACATTGCAGCAAGCAAAACAAAACATGTGAACTGTCAAAATACCGGGTTGCCAAACATACAGTTATTCACCAGTCCAATGACTGGTACTTTCGGCACAGCGTGGTACACTTGAGGCACAGTGAGAACAATGTTGATGTGTAGAGTGAACAGGTAGTTGCTTATTCATGACAGATACGCGTATTTTTGAGCAGCCTTTTTCAGTGTCTTGTACTAAATACTCGACTCTACTTTGTCAAGCATCAGTACAATACGCGGAAGAAGTCTGCCCATTGTATACGAAATTCACGTATCTCTTAAGGATAAACAGTTAGGGTAGTGGATGGAAATTACTTATCCTAAATTGGTTGGTATCGTAGCTGCAGCTTTCAGTAGCGAATAATCGGTTTACATGCAATTCCTTTGGAATTTGGCGTATGCACATTTGTTTCGCGTCAACGAATTTTTGTCACGATAATCTATAAACCAACTTAAATAACATGTTATTTCCTTTGAAGGTAGCCACTACTGAGCACGAGCAGGGTGCGCAGTTACTATCTCACTGGACGGTTGTTTAGCGGGAGTGGTTAGAGCATTGGCTCTGTATGAAGTCAGTCCGTTTTTCCACCATTTTGATTGATTGTGGAAGCTTGCTGACGGATCAAATGATGAAATTCATCCGCTTGGAACAGACTCGATCGAAGTCATCGAAGTCATGATTAATTAGAACCACACACGCCATGTTTAAAGGTAACTTTTTTAAAATTAGACTCTAAACTTTAATTGCGCTCAATCATAGTTTGGGACCTTTAATTAATAACTAATAGCTGCAAAAACATTATCTGTTGAATTTGAAGTTCTATGCAATCTATTTGCCTAGCCGTGGTTATCAAAAGAGAATCGATCAAAGCAGGTAGGAGCTTTTGAAATGATCATCAAGACGGTAGGATTTTGTATCATCATAGTAGGCGTATGTTTCAATTGGAAATTAAAAATCATCTCGAAAATCATAATGGCTAGTCACGAGGAGAATCATAGAAAAGTGCGAGTTCAGTGCTTTAAAAAATTAAAACAGCCAAAACCCATTAATCAAACCCTATAGTCAGAAAGATGTTACCAGATTACAGTGAAAATAATCTGATTTATCCTGAAATACTTTGTGGAAGTTGTTATCTTGCCGTGCACATATGTTCAAAGGGTAGTTGTATGATAACTGTCTGTTAATCATTTTGATCTAATAGCTTTTTATTTCGAAGGTGTGCTCTTCAAACTAAAATTGGTATGGGCCAAGGATAATTCAAAATACGTTTAAATATTGATGAAAGTACTGATCAATTAACTGACTTTAAAGATTCAGGAGTTTGACGATCGATTATTCTTACATTTGCCCTTACGTGCCCCAAAATTATTATTCGAACATCTGGACACCTAGAAGCCGTTGTAACCGATATGATACAATGAATTTCAATTTATAATCACATTGAATTTATCTGAGCTTATTTCAATATTATAAACATTTTGGCTGGTGTTATGGCAAATAATTCCACGTGTCCATGTGCATATTGCACAACAAGCAAATCAGACTTGGGAAGTAACATGGGAGTACCACGCACAATTGGTTCAATAAGGAGAAATGCTGAGCTATGAATTATTGAAGGTGGCGAGAACATGAAATACGCTATGATGAATCTGATAATTTTGACTGTAATCTGGTAAAACCAAAATTTTGCTGACTTCATGGTTTGATTGATGGGTTGCGGCTGTTTTGCTTTTTTAAAGCACAGAACGCACACTTTTTCACGATTCTCCTCGTAACTAGGCATAATGATTTTTGAAATTTTAAATTGAATTATACGCCTGCTATGATGATATCAAATCTGACAAATCTTCAATTTTGTAGCCATGACAACAATAATGACATAAACAGAAGTTAGTCACACCTACGACCTTGCATCTGAACTTAAATGTAAAAATTAAAAATTCATCGAATTTTGTAATTTTTAGCCTAATTTTTTCCTAGGGTGACATAAAAAAAATGTTTTGACACGTATTTGAAAACTAAAGTATGCTAAAAATTGATTCTTATAAGCTGCAGAAGCACCGAACATTTTGCAGAAGCCTAAAATCTTTTCATAATTTGCATAAATTGAATTTTTCAGAAGCCTAAAATATAGTTCCTAATTTTTGTAATCGATTCGAAACCTTTGTTGATGATCGTAAGCCGCACGTGAAACAATATCT